AATTAGTAAAAATGTGTCACGTTGACAAAGACAAATAGTTCACTGCTTTAGCCCACCGGTGTGTTGAAGCCACAACATTTACAATTTGAGTACGCCGTTTCGCTGGTAATTGCAACCAGCATCATCGGGCAATTCGCCAGAATGGTGAGGCTCTGCTGTGTCTCCCGTTCTTATATAGAGCAGCAGCAGGGTGACGTCATCATTAACTCATTAACTCATCAGGTGCAAAGATTCAAGGGGGGAGTGATTGTAATTATATACTAGATTAGTAATCAGGCTATTGTTACGATGCGAGTTGTAGATTAGCAATCATTTGGAATGTGTTTTATTGTGATTATGCTACATTAGTAATCAGTTAGTGGTTGTTTCCCTTATAAGGAATTGTAATGTATCTTATTTAATAATGCCGCTCATAAGATGCCCTCCCAGATGGGGTTGAGAGTCAAAATTCCGTAATTTTTTTTACGTGGGCAGACCGGATATTCGAATGTGACGGGTGGCGGAAATCGTCTGCCTGCCTAATTTGTAATACTCCCCGTAACGACCCGAACCACTACAGTGTGTGAGTGTTATCAGTCGCGCACACACAGCGTAATATTTTCCGTCACCGCAATAAAGGAAGTGAATCGAGTCTGGTGGTGAAACCATAAAAAACGCACAGTGTTTGGTGCCATTTTCAAAATTAAACCAAAAAAACCCCTATTATCATTCCTTATCGGCCATGGTCAATCTACTGCTTAATGAAATGCCTCCTCAAAGCCACCACCGCATTACCGAAAACTCTATGGTGGCTAGGATATGTTAACTCCCTCGCCTGCTATACAGGAGGTCGTGGGTTCAATCCCGACCCTGACGATGCCTGCTGCTGCTGTATATTTGGAGTTTGCGTCTCTCTCTCTCATCATCATCACGGTGGCTAGGAGATGTTAACTACCTCACCTGGTATACAGGAGGATCGTGGGTTCGATCCCGACCCCTGTATATTTGGAGTTTGCGTGTCTCTTCCTCATCATCATCACGGTGGCTGGGAGATGTTAACTACCTCGCCTGGTATGCAGAGGGACGTAGCGGTGTCTCTCTGCCCATGGTCGTGGATTTTTCTCCAGGTCCTCCGTTTTTTCTCTCTCCACATTTAGAATCGACGTCACGCGTTTGGAATATTTGGCTGCTTGAAATCTCCACTCGATAGCCACCACTTCATTGAGCTGCCATCGTTTGTGATGGCCAGGTCTCTTCTGAAAAAAGAGCTAAACAGTAGCTCAGTGTGGCCTTCCACCTGGTCAAATAAAAAATAATATTTAAACATACTTTTTTTTAAAACACGCTTTAATGAAATGTATCGTAGGAGTATTGGCAGAACTCCACGACTCCAGGAAGTGGCCTGAAGCTTGCCATAACGTAAGGGACCGTGTTGATTTACAGCCAACGTGAGTTGAACGTGGACAATTAGACCCAAGCCGAAACATAACATATACAAAAGATTGTTTTAGAATATATATATATATTTTTAATGATAGAATATAGTATTGTCATCAGTATGACATACGTATGCCAAGTTTGCAGCCGATACGACATTGGGAAGTGGGTAAAATTGAGTTACAAGATTTGAGGATACAACAGAGTGAGTTAAATAACAGCGTGTGAATAAAAAGTGTCGTTTTAGTGTGGGTCTCTGTTGGTCTCTGTTGGTTACTGTGAGTGTCCGTGGGTCTCTATGGTTCTATATAGGTATCTGGATCTCTGTGGGTCTATGTTGGTTACTGTGAGTGTCCGTGGGTCTCTATGGTTCTATATAGGTCTCTGTGGGCCTCTTATGAGTCTGTAGAATCAACGTCACGCGTGGGAGGACTGGTGTCACTTAACGTAAGGGGGGAAGGATAACTCTGGATGTCTGCAACATATTTTTTCTTTATTAAAATCCCACAGTTGCAATCGGTAGCAAAACCATTCATAGCAGCCCTGCTTTTGCGGTCTAAAGTTTGATTCGTTAGAAACGGTTGAATATTCAAAACAACGTCTCCTATTGTGGCCTAAAATTGCGTCGTTATCGACAGTTGAACATTCAAAAGCGGTGTTCCGGTCTGGGTGTCAAAACATAAAACACAATAAAAGATACATTTTATTTACACTTAATGCGCACCGTAACATTTTGTAAACACCACGTGCAATCAATGATAGAGGTCTGTTTGGTTTAGTTCGCGTATAATATAAATGTGGTGTCGTTAAACCCGCCACCACCCGACACAGCCAATCAGTAAGGTTTGTCACGTAAACAGAACGTGCCAATTCGTTACTAGTTCAGCGCTAACCGATTGTGTTGGAGAGTAAACCCACTACAACATTTACAGTTCCAGTAGCGTGACTTTTCGCCGGTAAATCACAACAACAACTGCCAACATTGTCAGGCCACAGCCACGCCAGAGATCTGGAGAAATCCTCCTTCTGTTTCGTTCTTAAACGAGAACATACTGGCACCACGTGCAAGTTTGTTCTCGTTTTCACGATGACTGTGCGGGTGTCTCCAACTTTCTGAATGAAAAGTTAATTACAGAACCATAAAGCCACAACTTTCGTGCTTTTCAACCTCTTTGGACATGGTTAGCTTCCCCGAAACTTTACACAATCAAGAAGTGTGTATGTGTGTGTGAGTAGTGTGTGTGAGAGTGTGCGTTTAAAAAAAAATACTGTTCAGTTAAACGTCTCAAGTCCATCAAATGCATGATCGGGTGTCCGTTGATCATAATTTCAGTTTTATTTGCTATTTAATTTTACTCAATATAGAGCCGCTGCGATTATAAGACTTTGTGTGTACATTACAAAGCCGATATGTGCAGCGAGGCTGACGTGATGCTTTCTCTCAGAACAGAACAAGTTTGCTATTAGCCTCTGCTGTGTAGGCAGCAACTCAGGTGGTGGGCAGAGGGCAAACAGGCGATGTCAGAACATGGGTGCTATTAGCTTGCACACTACTGCCACTTTACCCCTGTACGACATGGTGCTAGACAAGGTTGTCCAGAGTGAGATCCTCCTAGTTGAGATCCAGGTCTCGCACTTCATCACATAGATACACTTCCAGGTAGCGCACAGGTCCTCTGCTCAAGGAGAACTCCTTGGCTGCGGCTGAAAGATCACTTGTATGCCAGGCCCCAATTAAAATGCCTGCACACATATTCCAGTTCAGCTGTGCAGAGGAAGCTGAAGAGTAAATATCTTGGCAGGCACGCAACTTGCTTACGTCTGTCATGTGTCGGATAATTAGGACTTTTTCATCTGCATGAGCAGACAGAGTTATTTTCATGTCTGGCTCCTTAAGGACTAGCCCTGGAAGCCTTCTCCTTAGCAGGCACGGAAGAGGTTCCAGGACAACTGAATAAAGCTGCCATGACAGGAGAGAGCCTTGCCTAATCCCTCAGCTCAAATAAATGGGTGCACGTAGAGACCCGTTCACCTTTCTAAGACATTCTGCACTACTGTAAAGCAATGCAATGTGCTGAAGGAAGTTTCCTTCCAGTCCAAATGCACTCAAAGTACCCAGGAGGTATGTATGGTCTACACTATCAAAAGCCTTCTCGTGATTTGGGAGACAGGACTGCTAGTGGGATCTTTAAGCATCTGGACAAGATGATAAGGTCTGGATGATTAGATCTCTTACGATGAATATATTGTCTTGGATTGTGCATCCCGGAACAGTGTGTGACTGGTCCCTGTGAATGATGTGTGCTAGAACGACTTTGAGCCTATGTGATAGCACTCTTGCTAGAATCTCATAGTCATTACATAGCAAAGACACGGAGCGCCAGTTCCTCAGGTGCCGCAGATCATCCTTTTTTGGTATGAGGCAAAGTATCGCCCTCCTGCAGGATTTTGGCATATCGCCTTTGTCCAGTGCTTTGGTTAGCACTTGCAGATATTCATCCTTAAGGAGCTCCCAGAAACTGCTGTAATACTCCATCGTAAGGCCATCGAGTCCAGGTGATTTATTTCGACCCAGTCCTTCAAGGGCTTCTTCTTCTCCTTCCAGTGTCTTGTTCATGAAGTTCCGGGTTATTGGGGCTTAATTTCGGTAACTCTCGCCATAGTTCTTGTTGAGCAGAAGGAGACGCAGATTCGGGAAGAACCGATCTTAGTAGAATTCCCTCGTCACTCCGCTCAGGCTTTGTCCAATAACCAGCTAACCACCTCTATTGTACAGGCACGGTTTGACCGGCCCCACCTCTTTTCAATGCTGGCAAATAATTTGAGGCCTACATCAGCCTCCTTGAGAAAGCTGGACTCTCGATTGTATGTTAAGCCCCTTCAGCTTCGTGCACATGGACTTTTCGAAGTAACTCGTTTGCTTCCTCATATCTGTGTATCGCAGCAACATGGCCTGGGCTAAGTTCAGCCTTCAGCTCTAGGACCTCCCTGTCCAGTGCAGCAATATTGGACTTGGCTTCTATGGACCTTCATTTTGAGTAGCATTGGCTTAGAAGCTATAGTTTACCCTGCTTGCTTGCCCATCGCCACGTAAATAACCTCTTGTTGTAACAGCTGTCTCACTGGTTCAGCAGTTCCACTGCTGGATTATTTTTTCTGCCTGAGGACGACCGCTTGTGTTGCGATTGAAACGTCGTGATATATAATTTTTATTTTATTTATGTTTCTATCTATATGATCTTACCGAAATAACAAAAGAGTGTGGAGGGAAACTGGAGGATCCAGATAAAAATCCACGCAACCATGGGGAGAGAGAAAACACGCACACTCCAAATATACAGCAGGCATCAGGGTCGGGAACCAACCCACGGCCTCCTGCATACCAGGCGAGGGAGTTAACATATCCTAGCCATGGTCATAGCTCAACAACAAAGTGAATTATCATCATCACGTGGGAAATGTATAGCAGCCAAGTCCGTTGGAACTTGCTGGGGGTGGGTGAGTTGGGTAACTTCCTTGTTCCCCATTTATTTATTTTTAAAACGAGCTGCTTGCACTGCGTTGTGGCTTGGCCTTGAATTCGAGCGCTGCTGCTGCTGCTACTACTGCTGTCGCTTACCTGCGTCTGCATCGAGACCGAACCCACACCGTGTCAACCCGTACGGTTTACCCCGTATTCTTATACAGGGAAATTGAGTTTGCAGGTCCATACGGCATACATCCGTTTCAATACGGACAAACGAAAATATTCTCCCTTGTGACGGGACCTCGTGGGATGAACGTTGCGATTTATACGGGGCACGGGGTGACCATTAAGGTCTGAATTGGTCTGTAGAAAGGTAGGGCACTGATAGGGTACCTGAACCTGCAACCCGAGCAGAATAGACAACAATGTCGTCCTTGACGTCTTTCCTCTCTGGTCAAAAAGACCTCCTGCCCACCTTCGAAACGCTCATCACGGGCGTGCTCATACCCATCATGTCTAGCCTGACGGGTGTCTACTTTAACATGCTCGCCTTCCGCTGCCCCTGCGCCCCGGCCGAGAATGTCGAGTATGGCTGGAAAGCTCTGTTCATCCCTTTCGCCATCATCCTCATGGTGTCTTTCGCCATCCAGCTGAGGTCGATCGCGGTGGTGAACAGATCGCTGTGCCGCGACTCCGTGTGCCCCCACATGTGCCTCTTCCCGTTCACGGCGTTCATGAAGCACGGGGCTTTCATCGTTGCGTCGCTCGCTTGGATCGTCGTTGCCTACTTCCACGGCAATGTGCCGATCTGCATCGAGGTCATGAGCCTGGACTGGCGCCACCGCTTCTCGGTGCTCGCCCCGAGCCTCTCGCGCATGAGCGAGGAGGAGAGACGCGGGGTGCTTGCCATGGTGCCCTGCGCGAATCAGGATCCTCTGCAAGGACTCGTCCCCAACGGCACCAGCAAGGAGGTGCAGTTGGTTATCGTCAACTACCTCCACGCGACCGCTCAGGTACACACTTTGAGCAAAGCACACAGAAAGGCGATGAGTGGGAATGCGACGTGCGAATCGCTACGGTTGGTTGTCGGTGCGATGACCGTGTGTGTTGTTCGCGGTGGCTAGGAGGTGTTAAGTACATCGCCTGCTACAAAAAAGAGTGCGTGGATTTGATCCTGATTCATGATACTGTTTATTTGGATCTTCTTGGTTCTTTCGGTAAAAGCACGTAGAAGGGAAGTAATAAAATAATAAAAATAAAACATTATAAAACACAACGCAAGCAGCCGTCCTCAGGTGACATGTTCTTCACCTGAGGACGGCTGCTTGCGTTGTGGCCTAAACGTCGTGAGAATTATTTTATTATGTTTCATTTTTATTATTTTATTACTTCCCTTCTACGTGACGACTTTACCGAAAGAACCAAGGAGATGAATCCGTGCAGTCACGAAAGCTTTAAATCGAAATGTTTATTTGGAGTTAGCGGATCTCTCTCCCTGTGGTCGCGTAGATTTTTCTCCAGGACCTCTGGTTTTCCCCTCCACATTTAGAATCGACATCATGCGTTTAGAGTATTTAGGTACTGCCTTAAATTGCCACACGATGATCAGCCGCTTTGTTATGCTATCATTTGTGATAACCAGGTCGCTTCTGATAAAGAGCCGTGCAGCTCAGTGGGGCCCTTAGTTTAGTGCCAATCTTTATCATGTCATATTACTCTGGAGACCAGGAGATTCGATGATAATCAATGTTCATCGACAGAGTGGGTAACGTTAAAAGCTGCTGCCATCTTCCTCCACTACAGTCATAGGAAAGGAGATGAAGAAGGAGATCACGTCGCGAAATTTTTAATCGTATCTTGTGAAAGTTTACACGACGGGGAAAACGTACCTTCCATTGCCTTCGCCCCACATCGGTGGCGTTCAAGGCCTATGCTGTTAAAATTTCAAACATTTTCCTCGTCGCGTTATTAATTTGTATTTTATTTTACCAGGCGTCAAGCTCTACTGAGCTGTGTAGCTCTTTTTACACGCTTTTATTTAACTCACTCTGTTGTTGTATCCTAAAATCTTGTTACTCAATTTTAACCCACTTCCCAATGTGATATCGACTGTAAACTTGGTATACTTACGTGATGCTGATGAAAATGCTATATTCTATCATGAAAAATAACATATATATGTTTTAACATTTTTTTTATATGTTATGTTTCGGCTTGGGTCTAAATGTCCTCGGTCAACTGACGTTGGCTGTAAATCACCACGGTCCCTAACGTTGTGGCAATCTTCGGGGCCACTTCCTGGAGTCGTGGAGTTCTTCCATTACGAGTACATTTCATAAAAGCGTGTATAAAAAAAGTTTTTTTTAAACATTACTTATTAAGAAGCAACCTGGTCATCACAGATGGTAGCTCAACGACGTGTCTGATATCATCAGAGTGTGGATATTTTTTGCAGCAGCAGCCAAATAATCTAAGCGTGTGTGACATTGATTCCAAATGTGAAGAGAAAAACTGGAGGATAACATCTCGCCACTACGGCGCGCCAGTTTGTGGTTTGCGGCTTTTTCAATTAAAATAAAAACGCAGCCTGGTTGCGCGCTGGAACAACAACAGCAACAGTGTCCCGAATATAAACTATAAACTCTATTTTAATTTTACCAGGTAAGGGCCCAATGAGCTACTACATAGCTATCTTTCAGAAGCGACCTAGCCATGATAGCTCAAAGAATCATCACGTGAACATTTATAGCAGCAGCCGAATATTCTAAACGCGTGACGCTGATTCCAAATGTGTAGGACCCAGAGAAAATCCATGCGACCATGGGGAGAGAGACACCGCAAACTCCAAATATGCAATAGGCATCAGGGTCGGGATCGAATCCAGAACCTCCAGTATACCAGACGAGGTTTGTTAACATCTCCTAGCAACCGCGGGAGTATGAGGGCCATTAATGAGATTTAAAGTTACAAATTAAATGTGGTTTGAATTATTCTTATTAAGAGTACAATGACGCCGACATACAGTGTACTCGGAGCCTTTTATTTGACACAGCACCAACACTAGGCCCGGCTTCTTGCTTGCCTCTTGAAGCTCGGTACGCTACCCTCCCCTTGTGCTTCTCCCCTTTAAATACTTTTCGAGCCCACGTCTCTGGAAGCTTCCCTTGCTCCGCTCCTTTCGCCGAGTCCTCGCCCTTCTCCCTCAATGGTTGCCAACCGTCACCTTAGCGCTCAACCTCCGCTTGATCCTCTCCTCCAATCCCTTTAAACCTTCGCCTCCCGACCAATCCCTGTGGAGGCCTCTCTGCACCAATGGGAAGCCATTGGCTGCTTCCTGGCTGTCTGTCTACCCAAACGTTTGCTTCCGGTGAGTGGTCAGTTGCCTCGGTTATTACAATAGTGTATATATACTGTAATGCAAGAAAAAAGTTGCACATAGAAGACCTGATGCAGGCAGTGATGAGAAGGAAATTGGCACTAATGTTGACACCATATGTAGGATGGACACAATAGGAAGATTAAAGGTGTTGTTAAAAATATATGGAAGGAACCAGATAGAGAGGGAAATAATATGGAGGGAAGACCTCACATAGATATGGCTTGACGACGACATCGCAAGAGATTGGTGCCAGAATGATGGGGCCACTGCTAGAGCAGAGTGACACTACAAGACAGAGAGAGGAAAGTGGAAACACCAAATGACGAAATGTGTAGTGGTCACACACTACTACTACTATGGTTTATCTGCCCATGGATCGTGATGATGATACACTACACAATTATACACTACACTACTAAACACTACACTATTATGCACGACACTACTAAACACTACACTATTATTCACTACTTTTCTATACACTGCACTATTATAAACTACACTACTATACACTGCACTATATACTTAGCACAAATATACATTAAACTACTATACACTACACTACTATACACTGCACTATACACGCCACTAATATACACCGTACACACTCCACGATAATCATGTGGCACTACCTGAGCAGAGTGGCACTATAAGACTAAGAAAGGAAAGCAGAAACATAAAATGACGAAACGTGCAGTGGACACCTACTCCTACGGGTTATCCGCCCCATGGATCGTGATGATGATATAATGTTGTCCGTCTCTGAATTGTAATTCTTAAATGTGTTTTTTTGTTTTAATGTTAAGTCAAAATCAATTAGTCTCTGCTGCTGTCTCCAGTTGCCTAGGTGAAGAGTAAGCAACGTTTTGGTCAATCCTAGCCAACTGGCTCAAACACGTAGTACACTAACACAGGCAGATTAATAGAGGTACATAGAGACTAATAAAGGCTCATAGAGATACACATTGACTATGGGTCCGGGTGGCCGTGGGTCGCAGTGTACGTATTATTTCACACCGTACGTATCCAACCGTGCCAATCTGTGGTTCTCTGTGGGCCCCTATGGGTTTATGTGTGTTTATATGTGTCTATGTGGATCTCTATGGTTTTGGGTGTCTGTGGGTCTCTATATATGTATCTTTGTTGACCTTTTTTAGCACTGTACGTAGCCAACCGTGCTAATGTGTGGATATCTGTAGGTCTCTATGGGTGTCTCTGTGGGTGTCTCTGGGTCTGGGTGTCTGGTCTCTATGTAAGTATGTTGAAATTGTTGCACTGTACATAGCCAATCATGCTAATCTGTGGGCCTCTGTAGGTCTTTATGGATGTCTCTATGGGTCTGGGTGCCTCTAGGTCTCTATGTATGTACGTATGTTGAAATTATTTTGCACTGTACGAATGTAACGGTGCTAATCTGTGGGTCTCTGTAGGTCTTTATGGGTGTCGTTATGGTTATGGGTGTCTGTGGGTCTCTGTGTATGTGCAGTGAGTTCAATTCATGCGCACACTGGAACTTTGGGAGGCAACACTATTTATTATTGACACAACGGGTAACTCTTAACATTACACATAGGGTGGTGACCACCGACCTATCCTCGCTAACACCCCCTATCACTCGCTAACACTGACACTCTCATACGACTAGCGTGGCCAAGCCAGGAGGGCTCCTGGTTGGCCACGCTGACTTGAGTCTTGACTCTACTTTTTCATGATGGCATCTTCACGAGGCATCTTTATCCCGGACCCGAGTAGCCCCGCACCAGGTGTGGAGCCCGCTTATATTCGCCTTGGCGTGCCCGAGCAACGCCCACTTTCTCGAATCCTCGAGAAGGTTCAGCCCCTGGCCATGCGACCCCCAAGGTCCCCTTGGGGTCCCCGGCCCCCACCTTTATCCGGTCACGTGTCTGGCCGGGTTCACACAGAGTGCCATGACCTGACACAACCCCTGTGGCACTGGCGACAGCCTCCCGGCTCCCCGACCCGGCTGTGACGTCATTCCAATATACCTGACGTAGTGACGTCATGTGTGTACAGGCTCACACAGTCACTGCATATGTATGTTGAAATTATTTCGTACCATATGAAACCAACCGTGCTAATCTGTGGGTCTCTGTAGGTATTTACTGGTGTCTCTATGAATATCTCTATGGATCTGGGTGTTTGTGGGTCTCTGTGCATGCATGTTGAACTTCTTCCTCCACCGTACATAGCCAACTGTGCTAATCAGAGTACAACCAAGTTGGTTCATTTTGCTTTTTTTATGTCTGTTTTTGTTTCTGTCTCAGGACACGGCATGGCTATTTTTGCTAGCCATGACAGTCGACATACTCCTCATGCTCTCTGTTCAGAAGCTCATCTTCAAGAATATCGCTCAGGTTCAGGACAAATACGTGCAGTGTGAGGAGCAGTTAATCAGAGAGAAGACGGAGGAGCTGCAGCCCTCTCCACATCTGGGCAAGTCGATGCCGGGGCAACCACCCCAGCCGAGGGATGTAGAGGAGACTGAAATGGCACAGCTTCTGTGCAGCGGCAACGAGAGACAAAAACAGGACAAGCAAGGGAACCAACAGATGGTTTAAATCCGGACAGTAATGCTGTGGTGGATGTGAGCAAAGCCATGAAGGGAAGGCCAATTTCAAGTGGCTATACTGCTCATGGTGACTGTAGCCACTGCAGAGGTAAAATGGGGTCTCTAGATGGGTGTAGGGGGCTGGTAACCCCTCCTGCTTCAATTCAACTACCACAAAACTACTTGCAAAATATCGAACTAAGCTGGTACAGGAAAACCCGGCGGGAAAGCCGTCTATGACAACTCCCACCACTCCTCACCTTCTCATAAACCCGAGGTGGCTGCTTACCCCCTCACTGAAGATGAACATCAATGGAGGGATTAGGCAAGATGCCTGCTACAGGTGCTAACTAAAGTGACCCCTCGAGATAGAGCAATCCTGTTGGGTGACTGTAATGCCCGAGTTGGTCATGATGCTGGCACATGGGATGGAGTGATTGGAAGATATGAGCCAAATTAGGTAAATAACAACGGTAGGAGGCTGCTCGACTTCTGTGTAGCCCATTGGCTTGTAATTACCAACCACACTGTTCTGGAATTGGCGCATCCACACAACATAATGGATGGATGTCGGGTCCAAACAAGAACATCTGCTGGACTATATAGTAACGGAACAGTGGATGCAGGTACATGTCCTTGACACCAGGACCTACCTTGAAGCTGATCTGCTGCCCACTGACCATCGGCTTATCATCTGTAAGATGCACATAGCAATCTTCCATTTAATCCCACAATGGCCTGATCTCAGCTAGCTGATGACAGTGGCAAGCACGAATTTCATCATTGCTTGCAGCTAGGATTGGCATCGTCCCCCCCACCTCCTTCTGATTCCAAGGGGGGATGGGTGAGGTTTAGGACTGTGGCTCATGCAGCTACAATGGCTGCTTTGGGTACAAGGTCCGAACCTCCCCAAAGACCCTGGCTGATAGAGGAGGTGTTCTGGCTGGCTGGGAAAAAGTGACAGGCCCAATCCCACCGTCTACGGCATTCCATGTCGAAGATTGAGGAGGCTTACCGCAGCCTTCACTCGGAGGATTGGAGAGCCATGTGGTGCTTCAAGGATGAGTGGTGGTGGCGAGTTGCAGAGGAGATGGAGTCTGCCTCACTAGCCCACGATCATAAATCACTCTTTAACTCCAGCTAAAAAGTTACTTGCATCGCCACACCTATCACCATTCTTAGGGGAAGGAAAGGTAATCCGATCTCCGACCCCTAAGAACAGGCTTGCAGATTTGCTTAGCATTTTTGTGAGGTCGTGTGGGAGGCGAAATCCCTCAGCCTGGAAAACATCACGGGACAAAGTGGGGATCACCCTATTCATATTCTTGGTTCTTTCAGTAAAGTCACGTAGATAGAAAATAAAATTAAAATAAAAGATAATAAAGTTAAAATAAATAAAAAATAAAAAATTATTAACTTTAAATAATAAAAGCAAAAAAACCCACGACGTTTCGATCGCAACACAAGCGGTCTTCATCAGGCAGAGAGAAACGAGGTGGCAAGCCTCTAAATGCAACTGGTTATAAGGGCTTTCAAAGTGAGCAAAGCTGTGTGGTGTAAGCAGCATGGGCGGGGCAGCCAGCGCAAATGTATGAGCCAATGGGGGGAGGAAGGGGGCAGAGACAGGGGGAGAGAGAAGGGGGGTAGAGATAGGAAGAGAGAGGGGATACAAGTAGAGCGTTAGACAATGGGGGGAAAGTGACGGGCAGAGATGATCTCTCAAGCGAATGCTGTGGGGGGTTAGCGTGTGTGTGCAGACTGCCCTATATGTCATCATAATAACAGGCTGGATCACAACAACACTAATTGTTATAACAACACTCCTACAACATCAGAGTGCAGTGCCACATTAAATACGCACTACAATGACAATAGTTTAAAGCGATTTGTAGCATGTTTTATTTTCAAAATGGAAATATGGTTTGGACGGGGTGAAGAGCTGTGTGACGTCATATTTGAGCGGGGGTCTGACTTTTTGTGACGCTGTGTGACAGGGGGGGGGGGGGGGGGTCAAAAATCGTCCAAAATCGCGTGACGTCATTTATGGACGGCCCCCAAGAAGAATCTCAACTTGCATGCATCATACATCAAAACAAACGAAGTGTGTATTGTCGCATTACCGTGAGATGTTTGTCTTTTTTATTTTAATCATGTGGTCATGAGATTTGATCAGTGTGCTTATCTTATAATTCGGTACGCATTTATGAGCACGCATTCCGTACGAATATTGCCATTTTTTTTATATTTGCCTATCGGTTTATTTTAATCACGTGATAGTGAGATTCGATAATGAAAGCTTTTCTAACCATTCGGTACGCAATTTATGAAGACATATACTTGCACGAACAATTGTTTTGAGGCGTTAGCCTGGTTGTTTTATTTTAAAATGGCCTAATCTTGTGATACGATTATTGATGCTTTGTAATAATTTAGTATAGATGTATGCATGGGTACTGTTCTATTCTGATAATTGATTTTGGCTGTCAATGTATGTTGTAAATTAAAGTTTATTAAATCAAGAAGGGTCCGAGTGCTTCTTTCTTAACTCATGCATCATATCTCTCAATTGCGAGAACTGTATCCTGCGGTGAGATTTGAATTCTGAGATCTGACATAATTACACACATGATGAAGCGAGAATCAGTAAATGTTAAAACAATAATCATTGATATTATCACCATTGATAATACAGACCCCTAGACAACGTGAGAGTTAATGATATTCGCTCCTAATAATTTGCATACTAATTAATCATTACTATACATTTTTCATCAGCATAATTATGCATTTACAGCATACATTTTTAATGACACTTCATAAACATGTATTGTAATGACATTTAATATTTTTTATTACGTTTGATTACATTAACATTACACAGTTAACAATTTACGTAATTTCACTTTCATTTATTTTTAAATCACACTATATACCACCCAACCGAAGGATCGTAACCTTATCGTGGTGGTGGGGTTTGTGTGTTCCAATGGCCCTCAGAGTGATGTCGCCTGGAGTCTTTTACACCTGGTAGGGTCTCCCTTGGTAAACAAATCTGGGGGGACATTCCAGACAAATAACGGTGCAAAGAAAAGCCCCTCATGAATAGTTCGGAAATATAAAAATCAGAGAGCCTTGCCCAGACAAGGTATACTGGAGCCAGCTCTCGGTGTGGTGTTCGCCTGCAAGTGCCTGGTGGCCGGGTGACCCCCACATAACCCGGTCGGGCCCAGCCCGAATTGGCTACGTGGCACCGTCCTGTGGGCCCACCATCAGTAGGATGAAGGGTGAGGGGCGGGTGTGTGATGCCAATATGGCAGGGAGGGAGATGGTCTCAGACGGACTGGACCTTGGTAATGAACACTCGCTATTGGGATGTGGATTGGCACGTCGCTTGGGGGGAATGAGCTGGATCTGGTGGTGGAGGTGGAAAGGTACCGACTCGACATAATCGGCCTCACCTCCACACACAACATTGGCACCGGAAACAAACTTCTCGATCGGGGGTGGTCTCTCTCCTATTCCGGAGTAACCCCCTGGTGAAAATCCCGGGCGGGTGTGGGGATACTCACAAGCCCCCGGCTGGGTGCTGTTCAGTTGGAGTTTGTCCCAGTGGATGAGAGGGTCGCCTCAATGAGACTTCGAGTCTCAGAACGGAAAATTCTGACTGTTGTTTGTGCTTAAGCACCAAACAGCAGTTCAGAGTATTTGGCCTTTTTGGAGATGGTGGACAAAGTGCCGCCTACAAACTCCATAATCTTACTGGGCGACTTCAATGCTCACGAGGGAAACGTTGGAGATACCTGGAAAGGCGTGATTGGGAGAAATGCCCCCCCCCCCTGATATTAACCTTACCGGTGAGATGTTATTGGAATTTTGCGCGAGTCATGGAACGTCAAAAACAAACACGATTTTCGAACAAAATAATTCTCATTAGTGTACTTGGTACTAGAGCACCTTGGGCTGAAGGTCGATGATGGACATTATAGTTGTATCATCGGACCTAAGGCCATATGTTCTGGACACTCTGGTTAAGAGAGGGGCAGAGCTGTCGACTGATCACCACCTGGTGGTAAGTTAGATCCGACGCTTGGGGCACCGACCAGATAGATTTGAAAGACCCAAACGAATATTGCGGGTTTTTGGGGAACATCCAGCTCTGAGAAAACTTTTCCTACACTCCAGGGGAGGTTATGGACAATTCGTCTGAGTGGACTATGTTCAGGACTTCTATTGTCGATGCAGCATCACAAAGTTGTGGCCTGGATACAGTTGGCATCTGTCATGGTGGCAAACCTCGACCCGCTGTTGGACACCAGTGGTGAGGGAAGCTGTCAAATTGAAGAAGGAGGCTTTCCAAGCTATGCTCGGAAAAGGTCTACAGACTCAATTGAGAGGTACCGACTTGCCAAGAGGTTGGGAGCGGTAGCATTCACTGAAGTGAAAACCTAGGCATGGGAGGAGTTTGAAGAAGCCATGGAGAAAGACTACAGGGCACCCTCAATCCATCTGACGGGACGTGGCGTAGGGTGTTTTCAGTCAGGGTGGGATAACATCGAACTCAATTAAGGAGATAGTGGAAAGGTGGAAGGAACACTTTGAGGAGCTCCTCAATCCGGTGTAAGTGCCCTCCTCTCAGGAGGCACCTCTAGAAATAGTTGGGGGTTTCGGAATTATCAAATCTCCTGAAGTCACTGCGGAGGTCGAGGGCCTTCAGAGCGGCAAAGCTGCTGGGGTGGACGAGATTCGCCCAGAGTTTTTGAAAGTTCTGAAAGTGTAGGGGTGTCGTGGTTAACATGCCTCTTTAATGTGGCATGGAAGGGGGGGTACAGTTCCTCTGAATTGTAAAACTGGGGTCATGGTCCACATTTTTAAGAAACGGGACCAGAGGGTGTGCTCCAACTACAGAGGGATCACACTTCTGCGCTTAGTGGTTGAGCCTCAGATTCAGGAGGAACAATGCGGATTCCGCCAAGGTTATTGGAACAATGGACCAGCTCTTTTCTCTCTCACAGATATTTGAGGGGTTATGGGAGTATGCTTCTCAAGTCTACCTCTGCTTCGTAGACTTGGAGAAGGCACATGACAGTGTTCTCTGGAATGTCTTGTGGGAGGTGCTGCTGGAGTGTGATGTATGGGTGCCGCTTTTATGTGCTGTCCGGTCCCTCTATTCTCGGAGTGAGAGCTGTGTCCGTATTCTTGGTGTTAAATCAAAGTCGTTCATGGTGGGTGTTGTACTCCGCCAAGGGTGCGTCTTGTCTCCACTCCCATTTGTGATTTCCATGGACAGGATATCAAGGCACAGTCGAGGTATGGAGAGTATCCGGTACCGGGGCTTGGAGGTAGCATCACTGCTTTTTGCAGATGACGTTGTCCTCTTTGCCACGTCAGCCTGTGATCTCCAGCGTGCACTTGAATGGTTTGATGCTGAGTGGTAAGCGGCAGGGATGAGGATCAGCACCTCCAAATATGAGGTCATGGTTCACTCGCGGGAGTTGGTGGAGTCTTCTCTCCAGGCGAGGGGGGATCAGGTGCCCTTAACTGAGGGGTTTAAGTACCTCGGAGTTTTTGTCGCGAATGATGGTAATTGGGAGTGGGAGATTGGCCACCGGATCGGTGCAGTGCTTGCAGTGATGCGGGTGCTGTATCGTTCCATGGTAATGAAGCAGGAACTGAGTTCTCGAACATAGCTCGGGGTTTACAGGTTGCTCTACATTCCCACCCTCGGTTATGGCTATGAGCTTTGGGTAATGACCGAAAGTATGAAATCGCAGGTATAAGGGGCCAAAATGAGTTTTCTCCACAGG